GCCTCAGCTTCGGCTTCGTCTGGTCCTGCCTCGCCTGGTCCTGCGGTTGCCACACCGCCGTCAGAGCCAGCTCGACCCATTCCACCTTGCCTCTGCTGGCCGTTTTCCGGGCCTATTAGGTGGCGTCATGGCCTTCGGGGACAGCCTCCGGAAAGGGTTTGTCGCCGCCGCTGGCATCGCGGCCGCTCTCCGGACCTGCTCAGTGGCTGCCACTGCCTTCCAAGTGGTCGGCCTCCAGAACTGTTTCCACGTCGCCGCCGTTGCTGTGTGCACGGCCGGCCCCCGGAACTGTTTCCACGTCGCCGCCACTGCTTGCCAAGTGGCCGGCCTCCAGAACTGTTTTCCACGTCGCCGCCGTTGCCGTGTGCACGGCCGGCCCCCGGAACTGTTTGCCCGTCGCCGCCGTTGCTGTGTGCATGGTCGGCCCCCTGAACTGTTTCGGCTCTTGTGTTGTCGACCCCCGGACTTTACTGTGGACTCGTGAATGTCTTGTTTTGTGTTGGCCTGTTTTATTTGTTCTGGACTCTCGTGCTCCTGGTTTTTTGTGTTTCGGGCCCTCCTTCCTGGGCCCCCTCCGCCCGCCCTGGCTTGGTGCTTGTGCTTTTTGTTTGGGGCTGTCGGGAGCCAGCCCTTTGAGGGGGGGTACTGTCACGGTTCTGGGTCCGTTGGACCCAGTATTTTGAGTTTATTGTATTTTGGTTTTAGTTTACTTCTGGGATTGTTTTCTTGTTGTTTATATGATGATGATTATGATGTTTATTATTTGAGTTTCATGTTTCTGTTTATGTTTAGGATTCGTTCTTCAGTTGTGTCGGCTTAGTATTTGTCCAGTTCCATGTGTCATTTTCTGTCTGTCTCTCTATGTCGAGTCTGCGCCTTTGTGTGATGGTTTCTTGTTCCTGTTTTATTGTGAAGGTCTGCGTCTCATGTGAGTGTGTTCAGTTTTACCTTTGTCTCGTCTTGTTGATCACTCCCAGCTGCGTCCACCACCTGTGTGTTATTTCCCTGTGATTCTCGGTGTATTTAAGTCATGTCTTCCGTCATTGTAGTTGCTGGTCCGTCTGTGTATTCCACCCTGCGTCATCTGTGTGTTTCCCTGCTGTCATCCGCCTAGTGTTTCCGCTCGTTCTCGTTCAGGTTTGTGTCTCGTAGTTTTAGTTGTTTCCCAGTATAGTTTAGTTTTCCTTGTTGCCGTTTGCCTTTCTTTTTGTGTTTAATAAACCACCTTCACACCCTCACGACTGCCTGCACTTGGATCCTTCATTTCCTCCTCCACACGGCTCACCTCACTCGCCGTGACAGATACTCCATCTCCACCTTACAAAATTTGAATATGACTCTGTAAAATGTATCTCTGTTTATATCACCTGTAGTCCAGACAAGACCATTTCTGGGATATCTCCTCCTCCACTTGCAGACAGACAGTTGATGCGCTCTTTGAAAACGTCTGCATTTGCTGTCATAACCAACGGCCCATAATCTGCACATACAGTATAATGTAAAACATTTTAAAAGCTACTAAATTGCGCATTTGTTTGCCAAGCATTTAATTGCAAACGGTGCTGCCATTTTATTCTTATTTATGTGAAAGTGAAAAAAACAAATGATTTTTTTTTTTCACGAGCAGCATAACTTTACAAGATGCTTTTCAAACATGTCCTATTAATAAAGTACTAAATCACACTAAATAACAGATCTCAAAACAAAAGTTGTATCCAAGATGGCCGACTTCTAAATGGCCACCATGGTCACCACCCATCTTGAGGAGTTTGCCCCCTCATATATACTAATGTGTCACAAACAGGACTTTAATATCACCAACCACTCCCATTTTATTACGGTGTATCCATATAAATGGCCCAGCTTGTAGTCTAATTTACAGGCTAGTAGTAAGAGGAACAGATACTGTGAATTAAACACCTTGTCACAGTATTGACTTCTATGTATTTGTACTTGTGCTGAGCTATGTGCATTCTTCTCTTTCTGTTCCTGTTAGAAACAGAATTGTGTTCTTCAGTGAAGGGAATAAAGTGTTGTTGTTTTTTCAGAAATCCCTGGCTTTCACTGCATAACATACTTAGTCTTTGCAGGTTCTTTCAAAACCAAGCCTCCTTGAGTCGCCTTTTTTGGGATTTGTGCAGCAGCTTGGGTTTTATGGGTTAGGATTGCTAGCCCTATGGCCAGCCCCCCTCCTTTCTCATCTGGGATGGGGACCAGCTAAGGCTAACTTCAGAAAAACCAACCAACCAAACAAACAAACAAACAAACAAACAAACAAACAAACAAACAAACAAACAAACAAACAGACAAACGAACAAATAAATAGTATTAAAAAAATCCCAAAACATTTGTGGTGTACCAGACTGTGAAGAGATTTTCACAACATTAAGACAAGTGCCCCATTGTGATCTTTAGACAAATATATATGTCAGTCTACAAACTGCTTCACGTTAAAAATTAAATTGTTTTATTACCTATTAATTCAACTGCTCCCCAGCTTTCAAAGCCTTATATTGTGAGATAGTTTCCATTTATGAAAGAGTTGCTGGCTCACAAAAGGACATTTATGTACATAAAAAGCTTACCATGTGATTTAACTGGTTTTTTACCAAGTTACTGACAGGACAAAAAAAACCCTATTTTACCTACTAAATTGTGATCATCACCGGTCCCAATTAGAGTCACAGAGCTTGAACCAGCATTTATCAGTATCAGGTTAGAAATAATCTGACACCAACAACAACAGTAAAACAACAACAACAACAACAAAACAGGAAAAAAAACTCTTGCTGTTGCTGGCTCTGGCCTCTCCTACTTCCTATTATTGTTTGTGCCAATTTCTCTTTTTCTAATGCATTAGTGAAAGAGCTCAAAAGGATTTGCCTTGTCAGAGTCTTATGACAATCACATCTCACATGGTTCAATGACTTTGACTGATGAGGCAAAAACTAAAACAAGATTTCAAAGATAATCTCTTCTCTCTCTATGGTGAGGTTAGCGAAATAACTAAGCTACTTTTTCTCATACACAAAGGTGCTGACACTCAATGGTGTAGAATTACATAATCAGAGATATCGCAAAAGAACAATACAGTATGTGCATGATTGTGCCAACTTGTAGAATTTTTCTTAGTTGAAGAAAAACCAGTTTTTGAACTTTTGCCTCTGCATACCACCAAAGCATATAATAAATCAAGCTATCAAACGGAAAGTTCAATACTACAAAAGCACAAGGAAGCTATGTTGTGTTTTATGGGGTGGGACAAACTACTAGCACATATTTCTAGTGCTAGCCCCAAGTTCAGATAAATAAGCAGGGTTGTGTCAGGAAGGGCATTTGTCATAAAACCTTTGGCAAATCAAACCTGCAAAAAGTGTAATTTTCATACAGAATTGTTCTGGGCCTGGGTTAGCAGTGACTGCTTCTGTTGCTTTTGGCCAAGAGGAAGGAGCTGAGACAGGCTCTGGGTGGTAGGGAAGAGTTCCTAGATTACTGGGACAGTGCAGCTTAGGTGGTGAGGGAAATTGTCAGAAAGGTGTTTGGTGTATTCTCTGGACAGCGTATAGGAGACTTGGAGGTGGAATGAGGAAGTAAAGGAAAGTATTCAAACGAAGAGTTTAGCAAAGAAAAAGTGGGATAGTTAGACAGATGAAGAAAGTAGACAGGGCCAGTGGGAGGCTAGGTGAACAGCAATGAGATAGATGTCATAAGCACAGGAAAAGGCTTGTAATTAGTAATATGTGAGGCTGGACTCTAAGGAAGGAGAAAAGAAATTAAGAGCCGTTTGCTCACTGTTTGAGCAGGAAACCATATGCCCATATATAGTGACCTTTAGATTTAATCTGATTTAGTGCTCAGTTCAGATAAAAAAATATTATAGTAGATGATTTTAACATTGATGTAGATGCTGAAAACAACAGCCTCAACTCTTCAGTTAATTTAGTGTAAGACTCAGTTGGTATCGATCAAAATTTAAATCAGCTCACGCACTGCTTTAGTCTCACTCTGGACCTTGTCCTGATATACTGCATAGAAACTGATTCCTCCACTGTTATCCTTTTAATGTTGATGTAATGATAAGGTTAATCAACAGGGGGCACTGTCTTTAAGAAAGCTTATGGATGGCAACAGGGGAGCACATAGAAGAAGACTGATCAGTGGTTTGTATAATAACTTGTTTGGGGGAGTAGCTCACAAAGCATAAGTGGATGCTATGTTATTTTTAACAAGCACTAGGAGGACAACACAAAAGGGTGTTGAGCATTAGTTGCCAGGAGGAAGAAAAGAGGAAGACCACAGAGAGAATCAATACATTTAGTGAAGGAGGATGTGCAGAAGGCTGTTGTGACAGAAGATCCCAGAGATGGGATGAAATGACAATGTTGCAAATGATGCACTGTGCTGTGCTGCCCCCTAAAGGGAGCAGTTAAAGAAGAAAAAGAGTGTAATAAATAGAACAGACTTTTTAGGTAAAAGGCCTGTTCAGTGATTTTTGGATGTGTTTGTGTGTCATAATTGAACTGGACACGATAAATGTAATCTATGATTATATATTATTTTACTAATTGTTATGAATATTTGTTCATGACAGAGTTGAAAGTAGAAGTTCATTAAAGAGAGAGAGAGAGAGAGAGAGAGAGAGAGAGAGTATATTAGCATAATTACAGGCACAACTGAAATACATACTTCTGGTAGTTTCCTAAAAACAAAACAAAAATACTTCATTTGAAACAACAAGAGAACAAACCTCACTGGGTCATTAAATTGTTGCCATTCAACTGTGCAAGACAGTGGTTATAATTCTTAAATAATTAAGGCAATTTTTTTCTGTGACTGTTGGATTAAAAGTCATTTTGGTGATGTAAAGAGGCAAAAAAACTGCAAAAAAAAGTGCCTACAAATTGTGGATATAACTGTAAGTGTCCTTCACTACACACAATTGTTTTTATTCTGCTTCTCCACAAAAACAAAGGCAAAAGAGCAATGTACATGATGTGACAAATGATTTTATTTTTTATGTATGTTTGCATGAATGTATTAAAAACAAAACATATGCATGAAGAATAAAATACAAAATGCAAAGATCAGCCTAATATAATCCACAATGTGGCTGCTGTAACTTAGATGGAAAGGAAGAACCATAAACAGCATTGGTCTTATGGTACACTTTCACCAAAACAAAAGACAACAAAAGACAAATTAGAACAATACAAATAATAGTAAAAATTACACAAAATCCATCTACTACTGCAGATATTGGATGCAACATATTGCTTTCTTTGCTATAAACACAGTTCATATTGCTTGTGAGTCTATAGCTGATTCTGCATTCCTTTGTTTCTTTCTGGATGTCATTGACTTTGAAAATCTCATATGGGGGAATTAGCACCTGATTATTTTTTTTCAGGGCAGAGTAATATGTTATGTCAGCGCCAAAGCACGTTTGCACCTCAAAACATGAGAGGTTCCGTGCAAAGTCCCACTCATCAGAGCCTAACATGAAGGTGCTAAACCGAACCTGTTTGTTAGAGATGTTCAGATGTAAAAGTGTCTCTGCTTGAAAATGTGTACTAACACATGTCACCTGGCTGTGTTTTAAAATCTGAATGCCTTCAGTTAGAAAAGAATAAAGTGAGCGTGACTCAAATGTCTCCTTTGGTTTTCCAGTTCTATTTGCAGACTTGAAGTTGAGGTTTACAGGTTGCAACATAGATTTTGTGTACATATATAAAGCAGCAGAATGATCTTTCTCCAGGTGCTTGTGTTGAGGCTTTCTGGTGTGTTGCTCTGCATTTCTCCAGGCTTCACTGAAGTTTTTACAGCAGGATTCCCATTTTTGCATCATGGAATTATCATTTAAAACTGTAACTTCAAATATGCAGTCATAAAACGTGGCATCACTCTGGTAAAAAGTCAAATTCTCAGTAGATGTCTGAAATTAGAAGGAACAGCTTGTTAGAAATATCCAGCAGATGGCGATATGCATTAAATCAACAGCCAGCATTCATCTTCTTTTAGTCTTTTTTAGATAATGGCTTCAAGAATCACATTAAAAGTGTAAAGATTTCAAAACACTGGCTATGAATATTATGATAAAGTGCCATAAAAGAAACCAAAACATAGAAAACCCTTTATTTTACATCTAACTTTAGCTTGAATCAAAAACAAAATAGTGTAAATTATGCAGTATTAAATAATTTAAAGTGGTATACCTTTTTAACAGTATCCTGCAGGCTGAATGGTAGATGTGTGACAACAAAAATAAGAGTAGTAATGGGACATATGATTGTTTTTCTCTGACACACTCGCGACACTGAAGAAGCCATAATTCATCTGAAAAAAAAAAGAGAATTTAGTTTAAAGTGAATTATTTGTGTTTTCTTTTCTTTTGTGGAATTAATTGGCAAACCTGTAAAATGTCAGTGTATGTCATGTATCTTGGCACAAACCCCCCACCCCCCCACATATTTCACAACATGACTGTGTACAGTTTATTTGCTTGCTCTACACAATAGAAGTGTAATAAAAGCCTTTTTCAGTCTATATGTCTATATATACACATATGTCTAGACATCTATTTGCCCTATATATATTAGTTTAAGGCATGCTGGGTTGTGTGATAACACTGTGGTGAATCAAAGTGCTACTATGTGAGAGAAAAAAGAGCCACTTGCATGAACTCAGCTTGTGTTGTGTGTCTTTGTAACTAAACTGTTTAGAAAATACAAATTGCCAGTGTTAGACAAAACAAAACTTGAAATGTTTAATAAAATACACCACTGCCAGAGGATCATATCATTAAATGTTATATTCAAATTGATATTGTTGCAGCTTGTCACAATGACAGAACTACATAGGTCCTAAATTCCTGACACAGTCTGTAAGTACGTAATTCCTCTAACATCAATGTTTATAAACTGTCATAGACAAACCAAAATGTAAATAGAAAATTAAATAAATAAAGTTTTTCTCTGTAAGATTTATCTGAACAGATCACAGTAAACAGAGGGTAATAACATACTGTAATGTCTCTGTATTTATGTGGAATGGCTAGAAAAGACATTTAAAATATGCATTTCAAAATTCTGTCTATTTTCTTTTTCTTTATTACTTACAATATTATGAACAGCTCTACAGTTTAAGGTGGTCTTTTAATTCCAGAGTGAAAATGCTTTAGTTCCCTTTTTGTGTTTTACGGTTGAAAGACTTGCCTTGGTTTTCTGCTTGAGCTAGTCACCAAACAGGATTAGCTAGTATTACCACCTGTAGGACGTCCCTCTTTGAATGTAAACAGTGATACTGACAGAACAAGTGTGCAGGAAAGTTTCCACCCACACGTAGTAAGTACATGTGAATGTGAATCTGCTGCAAACTGAGAAAACAGTTCAAAGTAAAAATAAAAAAAAATTGTAAAAAGCCATTCACTGAATGCGAAGAAGTTAATCAACAAACACAAAATACTGCGTAGCTATCTCATGCAATCTAATCTCCAACCTTTGTGAGAGTGTAGAAGAATTTGCACACAGCATCAGATTCCTTTCATACTTTTTTACACGTGCTTGCACTTACTATTGTATAATATTTATCGATATTCAAACCTCATATTACTTCAAAACGAGTTTCTGTCCTGATGCATGCTCAGTCATCCAGGCAAGGAAATCCCAAGAAGGGACGCAGCGTCATCCAATTGACTTCTTCAGTCTTAGCTGACTGCAAGTTTCCCCACCCTTATAAACAGTACCTTTGCACAATGACTGAAACTGGCACCAGTGGCGAACAAGGGACTGTGCGGTCATTACTTCAGCAAGAGCAAGAATAAAAGTAGATCCAGTGGCAGCTTGCCTTACATGCTGGGCTTCCATCAGTTTACTATGAAAGACCAGAGGTTTATCCATATTGTGCATGCATAAACAAGAAAAAAAGCTTCTGGCTTCTCAGCTTGCCAAGCTTAAGTCATTGTTAATTGGAGATGGAAACACCAACAAAGCAGAGACAGCTACACTCTCCTATAAAATAGGTAGAGCTTTCATCTTATCCTGTCAGAATGTCATTGTTTTATATGTGAAGCAGACTAAATAAGGGTTATCTTTATATGTGCAGATTGTGATCCTCTAGTTAGGGTGATGTTGAAGCCTACAAAAAAAGAGCCATATATCAGTGTATTGGCAGTTTAGAAACAGTGCCATCAAGTGGCCATAACACAAATATACTCCCATTTGTTTTTCATTTTTGTATGCCATCACATTAGAAACAGCAATTTTATTTTTAAAAAGCCACCGAAATACAACAGCAACAAAAACAAAACAGTTTACCTCATACTGAAATATTTAGATTATTCACAGTCATGTGTATGATCTAAATGAATTTATGCTGTTAAAAATAATTAAAGCTCCTAAGACAGAAGAATTTTCCATTCCCGCAAATGTAGAGAAGGAGCTGTAGAAACCCAGTTATTAAAAATAAGCTCATGCAAATGTTAAAGGCACTAGGAACATCAGCAATGAAACAATGCAATGGGAAAGAAGCAATTACAAAATTATAATAATCGGCATGATTTTCATCATTCATCTCTTTAGTGTATTATTGTTCTTCCTCTCTGAAGTGCTTTCATTTGGCCCAAAATGTTTCATGAGCCCTGATAGCTGTGAGGCTATAGAATAGCATTACAAAGAACAAAAACACATTTTGAAAGAAAAAACCCCACATAGACATGCAAAGGGTTTGAATATGTGTACATAGAGTACATGCAAGAAACAGAGGCAATCAGCCAAGCAAAGAACTATGCACCACTCTGTACAAGCAACATAACAAGATGGACAACATTAACATAACACTCAACATTTAAAGGAAGACCCAGGATATTGTTGACTGCATTGTATGCATTCAGACTATCTCATTTAATTTGGCATGTCTGCAGAAACCCACGACCACGTCATCCTGACCCAGGATTTGTATTGCACTTTTTTGTAAGGTTTTACATTGCAGCACACAATAAACATGTCATGCATACAATACTGCAATACTGTCTGCAGTTACTATAGCAGTTAAGTTTGTAATAAGACCACAAATATTATTAGACTAAATGTGTACAGTGTAGCATTTGATAACACTTCTAGAGTAGTGTGATGACTGATTGCCTCTAACGCTTGAACATTTGCATATGGGGGTATGACTGTGCTTCATGTCTGTTTTGTTGTACCTTTGGGTAATTTGTCATGCAAATCATCTAAGCAAATTGAATGCGTGTCCTATGACCCAAATTGGAAGTTAAAGGTAATAGCTTAAAAAAATATACAGTGAACAATAAAGGTAATCATTATTATTAAATGAGAAAGTTTATCTTTCTTTTTTCCCCTGTTGATAATGTTCTCCTGCCACTCAGATCCTTGACCAGAAAAAGCCAAAGAGAGCATCAGAGAGAAAAGAGGAAAAAGAAATAGACTTTTTGTTTACTGAATGAGGTCCCTGTAAACCACATGAAAAAACTGCTGTAAGAGATGTTGTATGATGCAACATATTAATTAATTCCCTCTCAAAACATTATTATTTATGTAATTAATGTTATCTAAGAGGACATTACAAATGACTTGCATATTGTTCGAAATGAAAACAAATACTTCATTCGTTTCAAAAATGGTACTTCAGTTGTTAGCATCCTTTGATGCTAGATTAACTGGTTTGACTGGTTAGATTTACTGGAAAATAGAGAAAACAAAAGTGTCCATTTGAAATTCCATGAGCAGATGATAAATTATTATAAGAAGATATTAGAAAACAAACAAACAAACAAACAAACAAACAAACACACAGAAACAAAACAATAACAAAGACACAGCACTTTCCAAAACTATAATGTAAAATTGATTGTTTTTAAGTACAGCAATGAATACCAAATAATAATAAAGGCTGTTATAACACAAAATGTAGTACATGCTATGCTTAGGACAAGTGTATCTGTCTTTTTTATTATTTTTATTATTATCTAACCTCTCTAAGCAAATATTTGTAGATTTATAGCATTTCTACATTTAATACATTAATTCTAGAAAGTTTTACCTTAAAACGCATTTATAATTCAAAGTAATTTAACGTCCTGTGCTGACCAGTGGTTCAATTTCTTACTTTGCAGGAGTGATTTTGAGATGTATCCACGACTCCAGTGATAGCAGTTTACATGTGCAAAATATCACCTTCTGACCAGACTAAGCCAGAGGAAAGATTGTGGCTGGGTGTGGTCAGAGATAATTTGACCCCGTTGCCCCAAACTTGGTCCACATTTGTTGTAAACAGGCAACTGTTTACTACAAAGTTTTCCTGGTGTAAATTTTGTTGTTGTATCCTGTGTATTTTGCGAGTATAACTGGTAGTATATTGTATTTTGCAATGTATGTCATTATTATTTACATATTGTATCGGTGTAAATTCTTTACTGGTAATGGGTAATTTTTGCACTTTTTAGTTAATAAGGCTGTTTTAGCTGGCAGAGGGTAACTGAGGAACCTACACCAAAGCCAGCATACAAAGGCTCGGTAAACTGAGCTTTGAATCTGTGGATAGGTGTCATAGTGCCTGACACTGAGTAAAAAGCCACTGTGTTTCCAGGATAATCTAGGTACACACCAATGCGTGTAGCCCTACCAGCACCAGGAAGGTCTCTGTCTACTTTGTTGTGCCAGGCAGAGTAACCAGAGTCTGAGCAAAGGAGACTCCAAGACTTGTCATTGTAGCCAAGCAGGCTGTGTGAATTCTTCCCTTTACGGCTGATGCTCCTGTAAGCCACCCCTATGGAAAATTCTCCACTCCATTCAGCTTCCCAGTAAAACCTGAAACCAGTGAGAGGCTCCTTGCACAGAACTTGGGAGTAGCCATCAAAGCGATCTGGATGATCTGGGTAAAACTGGGTTGTTTTCTTCCGGGTGACCTTCTGATTCCCATCTGTCAAAACCAGCTCTTTATAAACTGTGTTAAGATCAAAGGACAGCTTGCAGGCATCTGAAAACACAGCCACAACATACATTTATAAATGTCTTCTGTTTAGATAACATTAAAATGTTGCTCTTGAGTACTAATTCTGAACCATAAAATTTACTTACATCTCAAGAAGTCTGTTCTGTTTTTTGGCTCCTGAAAATCTACATTCAAAGGAACTGTTTAAATATAAAAACATAACATATGTTATAAAATGTGCAACAATATTATGTTTAAAAAAAATTGCCAGCCATGTACAAAATAGCACGAATGAAATTATTCAGCTCACTTACCTTTGAGTCGTTTGCTTCCATTTCTTGGCAACAATATGTACACGGGAGTTTCGCTCACTGTAAAAATATAAATTCAAGTATATATGGATTGCAGCAAAAACTAGTGAGCCAGTAAAAGGTAATTGAAGTGTTAACAATGACTACTGGAACAAACCTGTCTTGGAGAGTTTACCCATTTCCTTTTTACAGATGTCATCCAGATTTTCTTTCATGTCACTGGCCGTTCTGCTCATCTCTCCAAAGGAGAACTGAGGGTTAATTAGCACTTTGGGGACCATGGCCTCAGGAGCAACACACAGGGTTGGGAAACTCTGTTTTTTATCGAGAAAAAGAAGTGTAATGATTTTTTACTAAAAACATAAATATATACATAAAGAAGTCGTGGTCTTGTTTTGTGTTAGTCAGTGTAACGGGGTAGCAAGAAATGCTGAGCATGCTATAGCAACAGGCGCTGGAAGTGATAAGTAAATTAACTGTTTTTTCTGTGCTACATTACAAAGCAAGAAAGACAGAGATGAATTATTGTAGCTCTGGCTGATTTTCCAGTACCTGCAGGAAGTAAATGTTGTCCTCCGTCTCGAGGATCTGCCGTAATTCTGCATCTTGACGTTGTAGCTCCATTATCTCCTGCTCCAGACGATCCACATAGCCTTCAGCCTGTGACATTGCTGATTGCATGTTGGCCATTATCATCTGATTGATTTCAGACTTCCAGCGTTCAACTGCCTGCAGCATTTCATGGAAGGTCTTGTCACTTTCTGCCTGTGCTCGCTGGGCTGCACTCTGAAAGGTAAAGACAGTTTTTTCCAGGAGCTTTTAGTTACAATAGTCATCCTTGATATTACCACTGGATTCCTTTATATAGTGGTATTAACATGTAACAGTTCTGTAAAAAAAAAAATGAGACCATGTCAAATTTACTATGAAGAAAAGTAATTTATGTTGGACCAGGCTATGATCTTACTTTTAGAACATCAATATTATGCTTAAGTTCCTGGAGCTCCTTCATCCTCTCTTGAATGATGTTCTGGACTTCAGTTTGGGTGACCACCAGGACTTTCTGATAAAAGACAAGAATACAGGATTTTATCACTCTAGAGCAGGGGTCTCAATCTTTTGGCCCGGGGGCCACTTGCGGCCTGCGTCACCCCTACTTGTGGCCCGTATATTGACGTGAAGAAATACAATGCAATTTGGCCTTTGAAGTTACTTTTATCATTAGGGAGGATTTGTATGTTGTTAAGCGTAATGTTAAAATAAGGTATTTAAAGGGCAAAAAATGATTTAATATGAAGGCAATATAAGCAGAGAGTGCAAACATGTTGAGGGATTGGCTGTGTTAGTTCAGTGAGAGAGTTATTTGTAAAGAAAACAATTTTCAAAAGCAGTTAAACCTAAAGTGTACACTTGTGTCTGCATTTTTATTTTGTTAAATATGAACAAAATTATAGCAGAAATGCTGCCATGTGTCTGGCCAGAAAGAGGGTAAAAGTTTGTTATTTGGTTGTTCAATGAAAGGCTTCAGTTAGTTAAGAGCGAGAAAACAATTTCCGGTCTTGTTTGCAGTTTTGTCTTGTTATACAATATTTGAAATTTGATGACAGTGACCAATGAGATGACAGTGACAGCAGTGACCCACAGCTCATTTGAGACTCCTGCTCTAGACTCCAGAATGACTCTTTTCATCATCTAATGTATGCAAAAACTGATGAAAACTTCATATCAAAATAAAAAGAGTATTAAAAGATTTTGTGATAGACTCAGCAATAACAACAATAAAAAAAAACCCTCACTTGTTTCTCATTGCGTTCGTCTTCTGCCGAGGTAATGTTGTGGCTGCGGTGCTCTCTGACAGTACACAGCACACAAATACACATCTGGTCAGTGCGACAGAACAGCTCCAAACCTTTCTCGTGTTGTGGGCAAATCTTCCTGTCCAGATGACCCATCTCATCTACAAGTTTGTGCCGCTTGAAGGTAGATGACTCATAATGAGGCTTGACATGTGTTTCACAGTAGTATGCCAAACACATCAGACAAGACTTGACGGCTTTGTTGCGACGGCCAATGCAGAAGTCACAGTAGACTTCACGATTCAAGTAGGGGAAAGGAGTAAGCTCTGGAAGCTCTCGTTGTGGCTCATGGTATACATCTGGCAGGTTTCGCTTCAGGACAGGCCGAGGTGTGAATGTTGCACGGCACTGTGGGCAGCTGTACACACCAATGTGGTCGAACTGATCCCAGTAAATCTTGATGCACTCCAGGCAGAAAGTGTCACCACAGGGGATAGTGACTGGATCTCTCACTGTGTCCGCACATAGAAGACAGAAAGCCTCTGGTGGTAATGGGAACCCAGAATCAGCCATAATGCTCAATAAGATCAATATGGAAAATTATTAAGAATTCTTTGTGTTGACTAGAAGTCCATCAAATATTGGACTGGTAAGTCCAGTGTTGTCAGTCAGGATGATGTCCAGAAAACGTCCATCCAGATAACCTGCTGTGATCCTACCTCTCTTCAAACCAGATACTGCTGCTTTCTGCTGACATTTAAAGGGAAGGCTTTGTTTCTACAGTAAACAACCTGATAATGTCTTCCCACACAACACCTTTCCCAGCATGAGTGAAATCACTCTGGTCTTCACTATACACTGGAATTGGCCTACCAAGCAGGAATTTCAGGTCACACAGTGAGGTCAAGTTGTCAGCAAAATAAACTTTACTGTTGGCTATCTGTCACGGTTCTGGGTCTTTCTGACCCAGCTTTTTGAGTTCAAAACATAAGAACAAGAACTTCTTGTTCTTATGTTTTGAGTCCTTTGTTGTACTGTCTCTTATTTCCCTAGGTTTCAGTTATGGTTATCATAGTTTAGTTCTTAGGTTTTGTAATATGGCTTCCCTGTGTTCCATGTTGTGTCTACTGTGACTTTTTGTACCATGTTTCGGGTTCCTATGTTCTGTCTCCCCAGTTGCTGTTAAGTTTACGTGTCTAGAGTTCAGTCAGTGTGTTTCCTGTTTTACTTTGAAGGTCCGTGTATCATGTCAGTGTTTCTAGTTTTGCTTCCCTTGTCTCGTCTAGCCTGATTACTCCCAGCTGTGCTCTTCTTCTGTCTTTCATTCCCTTGTTATCCCTCAGTGTATTTAAGCCCTGTGTTTCTCTTTGTCAGTGTCGTAGTCTCCCTCATAGCTCTGTGATTTTCCCTGTGGCTCCTTGTGCTAAAAACGAGCCTCGGAAGTTCTAACATCCTCAATTAAAATGGTTTAATTAAATCAATAGGCTTAGTCAAATTTCCAAATATTTACTGCTGCCCTAATTTCATTCTTTTGTCAAACTTACATGTTTCAGACCAAATAATTTTAATATTGGAAAAAAACAACCAGATTACATGTAAAATTCAGTTTTCAATAGCTCTACATGAAACATTTATTGCTTCTGAAACCTAATAACTGGTTACACCACCCTTGGCAGCAAGAAAGTGCAATCATGAGTTTGTGATAACTGGCAATGAGTCTTTCACTTTGGTGTGGAGGACAAAGAGAAGTTAAAGACAAAGCTAAAATAAAAATCACACATGTCAGGATCTGTAGAACCTCAACAACAGATGAGACCAAACTCACTGACAGCTGTCCATCTGGAAAGGTTTTCTAGGCCACTTCTAAACCTTGTGCATGGTGACGCATGGACAAATGTGTCACCGTGGAGAGACGGTGAGAGCCACCATCCACAAATGAAGAAAACAGTAGCAAAGCCCCCCAGGAGTGACTGGCCTACAAAAAGTACTCCAAGAACACGTCAATGAATCATCTGACTGGACGAAAAAAATTATCCATGGGAAAGTCTCCACTGACCAAAGAACTCATTTGAGACTTGAGACCTTTGTCTCAGATCATTAAACAAAACATGTAAAGTCCTTGCACCTTTTCCATTTGACTGAGCACTGAGTTTCATGATGGTGTGTGATGTCAAAACAGTTTTCTCTGTTATTGCTGTGAACAAAATACAAAATGTGGGTTCCCACATGCCTCCGTTGGCACGTCAACAAAAAGGTGAAAAGAAAACAAAAACAGTGCTGACTTAACAATATATTAATCTTTAATTTTTACATCATTATTGTAAAAAAATATATATAAATATGTAAGATTGGGGCCTTTTTATTTGAATTTGAATATGTTTTCTCTTCCCCCTGTGTGTACGTTATGTCTGTGTACACTATCCTCCTCCTACAGTTTGTAGACATCCATGCAAGCCAAATAGTAATTATAAATTGGCCAAGCATGTGAGAATGCATGTGTGTGTGTGTGTATCTGTGTTAGCCTGTCTAACCAAGCACTGCCTAACATAGTTAAGGCTATAGGCATGCCTATAGCTAGGATAAACCCAGCCTGCCTGTGAAACACTAAGAAAAATGACTGAAATAAAATTAAACCTTGAAGTTATGGGATATCTCCAAGTGGCCAAAACTACGGTGGCCCTGAGAGGCCAAACGGACTGCAACTTCAGAAA